AACCGATGCTTATCTTTATTCCAGGTCATGTGAAATCCATAGAATAGGGCCTATTGAATTTATTTCAATTGACTGATTTCGTCTGTAACTCAGTAAAAACTTTGAAATTGTTGCATGTTGCGTTTATATTTTTGTTCAGTATACATACAATGACTTAGTCTGCTGTTAAACAATTTGTGACATTACCAGTAGTATTAAACATAAAATGTTACTATTTTGTATTAATCTTAAATTGTATACATTGTACTTTTAAAATGTACAAGGAATTGTAATATTAAAGCCATGTTTGCCATTTCTTTCATATCTAATTATTTCGTTAACTTCTGTTTAAAAGGAGACATCATGGGTGGCTTTGACCCAACTTTGCACCATTGTTGAATGTGCCACACTTCTCCAAGCGAAAAAAATGTGTTAGAAAAATAGCTGGGGGACCAAACAGACAAATCCATTAGCCTGGCTATTTCTGTAAAGATACATTTAGTTCGTTATAGAAAATATTTATCTGACAGAAATACATGGGGGTGGCACATGGGGGTGGTTTAAATTAGTTTTCAATGCATTAATAAGCCTACAGTCATAATATTAAGTGTAATATGTACAGCTCTCGGATTGTATCAGATAAATATAACATATTCCTCTATTTTGTGTAGTTTTAATTTAGAATCCACTTGCATCACGCGCATAAACCTTTTCAGTACCATGGACAAGTCCCTCTGCGCCCTCTGCACGTTTCCCGTCTGCTCTGCCTCGCTAAGATGTTAAACCATGCATAAAGGCATCACGACAACGGTTCATCATTTCTAGACTAGTTTATTCAGAGTACAGATTCATGGTACATGGAGCAGCTTTACACCTTGACGAATCACTTAGTTATAACTTCCATAATTGGTTGTTTTTAGTAAGTAAATGTGTTTTTTTTTTTGCGGTGCGTTCTGTTGTTTTAGTTTCACTGGAGGCATACCAACACCGTGTGAAACTAACTGCTTTTGCCTTGCGGACTTAATTAAGGATAATGTGACAGGTTGAGGTAGGCTAACTTAAGCATAATAAGCTGTCCCTCAAAACACTAGCCTTTACATCAAACGGAGTCGCCTCATTTACAAGCAGTTTATGCACTTGCACTGACGTCAATGGAATGGTCTTGGATGTATATAACCCTTAAGAAAGAGGCGTTCTCCAATCGCCATTTAGCGGGGCTTTTCGGACCGGGGTCTCAATTGACACTTTTCTAGCCGGTGTGCAACTTTTTCGGCATCAGGAGACAAAGTACCGGTAAGTGGTTTATTTAGCTTTCTTTTGTTTCACCTTTTTAGTTTGTGGTGCTGAATTCAGAATATCAAGGACACACAGCAATTCGTTGGTCATTTTTGTATCATCAAAACAATTATTTATGTTTAATTTACATATTTACAAAGCTGAAGAAGCATGTGCATGCTTGTTTCAGTAACTCAACGATGTATGTATCCATTGTGTGCCAATTAACCACGCCTATAAATAGCCTGCTCATATGCATATGTTTTTAATGTAAAGAAAACATAATATTTTGTTACGTTTGTTGTTTATTACTGTGTACGTTAAGCTTGCCTTTAGACTAATTTTAGTAAGAATGTGATAGCCTATTTGTTTTTGCTTTGAACACAATTGTTAAATACGTGCAATTCAAAGTTTTAGTGTACTTTGAGTTCTAGTGCTTTTTCCTAATATTTGTACACATCTCTCCGTAACAGGGCACCGTTTTGTTCGTCTGTCCAGCACTATGAAGCCTGTTCCCCTGATCCTGCTCCTTGCCACTGTTCTCCTCAGCTCTCACATCCCCCACAGTGTCTGTAGACCACGGGACCTGGCAATGTTCGACGGCCATGGCTACAAGAGTCAGCTGGACGAGGTGTTGCTGAAGGCAGGCGATAACGCAGTTTCCTACCTTATAGGTGAAAAGATACTGAGGTATTTGCAAAGAAATCCCCGGTTGCAGGCAGGTCTCCATCCACAGTTTCCCTTTGAGGTGACGCCCCTGGGCTCGAGGGGTATTGGTCACCTGGCGCGCAGTTTGCCGCCCTTGGAGGAGCAGCGCGCACTTGAGGAGGGCAACAGCCTGGAAGACCTCGTAGAGATGACCAAGAGAAACAATGACCCCCCAATCTCCATCGACCTCACTTTCCACCTTCTGAGAAATATGATCGAAATGGCGAGGATCGAGAGTCAGAAGGAGCAAGCGGAGTTAAACCGCAAGTATCTAGATGAAGTTGGAAAGTGATACAGCAAGTGTCGTCAACAAGGGAGAAAACATCAAGATAAAACAACTCACAGAAAACAACAAAGCCCCTGGCACTCTCAGACCTACGAATTAGTTTAGCTTTTTCTTTGTATTTAACCGTTGGTTTCTCTGCCATTCGTCATCATAAGACACTACCTGTGCATAAAAATAACTTCCCCCACCTGTCCAAAAAGCCTTTAAAAATCAACGGCTATAAATGATTGACTGCCAAGACCCCATCTACAAGGGAATCATAATGTGGCGCCTTGACAACTATTCCCAGAGATATGGCATAGTGTGAATACTCCGGATCTCACACCTCTGTTGTGTATTCTCACCTTTGGATGTCCGGAGCATTGTAGTTGGCCTACAACAATAATATTGCCAGAATCAAATTGGGTTACAAGTTGCCCTCATGTGGAATAAGTGCAACATGTTTTGTTAGTCGTAGCCTAAATGGTTCGTACTAGCTAAATAACAAAGACAGGTAGGCTAATCATTGTTTCCAGCAATAAATGTTATAGGCCTTTTATAACACATTGGAGGAAAATAATGCTGTGTAAATTGATATTGGCTACCAATATGTGATCTTTCAATGGTCAGTTGTGTGACTCATTTTGTTGATGACTTTAAGGGACAACGATCGTCAATATAGGTACACTGAGTCCTTTTCCTGAGATTTATTTTTGTTCAATAACTGAAAAAGATGGAATAACATTGAACACCGGCATAGATTAAAACTAATCAGGTAAAGCACTCAAGTAATATTGTCATTTAATTACTGTATTTACTGTATGCCAATTGTTTAATTTATGGTGATTATCGATTTGCCCTTGGTTTGTTAGCTCACTTGGCAGGCAGCCATCTAGCCAGCAGAAGAAGCCTTTTCACATTGTTTCAGGTATGTGGTCTGGCATTGCCCGAAGGTTTCTGTGATACAACTAATCTCCATTCTAATCTGAGACAAAGTGAACATATCCTACACTTAACACCACTTCCACTCTCTGTATTATCTTTCCATCCAAGCAAGTACACTATCCTCTATACTGTACCTAGCATGCTGACGTTAAACAAACAACTAAGAAAAAAATGTAAGGGTTCATTTTATGTTGACTGTTTTGTCAAAGCCCTAATCATGGACATATTGTATGATCACATGGTTTAGCAGTAAAGAAAAGCTTTTTTGCCCTTTATATTTTTTAATAAAAAAGTTCTGAAAAAATGTCAGTTGAGTGTGTCATAGTCTCTTACAGTAGTGAATGTAATAAAGGAAACTATTCTGCTGAATAAACTACCAAAATAATTTATTCCTACATCTGTAAACAGATGCTGCTGAAGATCCTCTTCCCTATTGAAATTCAAATAAACTCCTTGCATAGTTACTTAAACTCTCGCTAAACACTCATTGCAAAACCCCTATGGCCAAATATCTAACCTCCATGGCCAAACACTCATTGCAGTTATCGCCTTTAACTCTCATTAAATTGAACTTTACAGCAGTTGCCTCTTCTTTTTAAAAGCATAACGTGTGGAAGCCAACATAATGGTGTGATGGTTGGTGAGAGTCTCTGCGAACTTGTGCGAGCTCATCAAAATGCCACCCAGCCTGGTGTTTCTATGACTCAGACAGTCAGTATGGTGGTGGATCTGCTGCCTTGTTCCTCTCTTTGTTAACACCATAGATACATTCAATGACTAATTCTTAACACCACCTCAAATCCCACTGGAGATCAAAGCAGCAGCTGTAGCTCAAGTTCAGGGTTGGTAACACAAACATTTGCTTAAAAAAGGAGAGGGGGTATATCATAATGAGATTTTTATATATATATATATATATATATATACCATTTTCAAAGCTGAGGCTAAAATGTGCATATACTATACAGTCAGATCATAAAATTTTGTCATCATACACTTTCATGATTAGTCTTTAAGCTGCTTCGGTCTCTACAATATTATTCATACTTGTGGAACTTGTTAAGGTTGTTGTAAGATGAAGAGGTAGTCAACATGTCCTGTTTCACACATGTACACGTGAATTAGATGTTTTGTTGTTGTTGCATATCCCACTCCCCCTGAGAACCTGGGAGAGTGGGTCACAGCCAGAGATCAGCCATTATTGACAGCGACGTGGAGCTATTAGGGTTATGTCTTGCTCAAGGGCAGATAGACAGATTTCACCTAGTTGGCTCAGGGATTCGAACATGCAACCTTTCGGTTAAAGCTCTAGTAGGAGTGTGAGGTGAGATAAAAACATGACACAACAATGTATTCGTCCTACTTTACAACATGCACAATTCAAACCAACAGTGGTATACATTTAATTTGATTATTCTTAGTTTATCATATTTACACACAATACACTGGTTTTTCTACATAGAGTATATCTGGTGGGTGGAAAGGGAGGCCTTCCACTGTGTGGTGTTTGATCTTTATGCTCTGTTGCAGATCTGTAATTCACACAATGTAAATCCTGTGGACAGCAAAACCAGTTGACAGCAGAATGGTAAAGGCAAACTTCAATACTCTGGATGGATGTGTGCAGGGGATTACCATAAACCCACTATAAGTAGTCCTTTCTTGACTGGAAGAACCCTGATTAAAAGAAAAGATCAGTTTGTGTCATTCTTTTGTCTTTTATATTATGTTTGTTGTGTAGAAAATATTTCACCTTTTATTTTCATTGTTTTTTTGTTTGTTTTTCCTGTAAAGCACATTACGTTGCATTCCATGTCTGAAATGTGCTGTATAAATAAAGCTTGATTTGATTAATGTACATGTCACGGATCATGGAATTGGCCATTCTGTTCTGTCTTATCCTTCTTGTAGTGTGAAGAGTTGATGTTGGAACAGCTTGTTGCCAGAAAACGACATGCGTCAACCTCTGATCCATGTCTGACGGCCTCCAGTGTTCTGTCTCCATTCATAGTCAGGAAACTCTCACTGTGGTGTTCACACACACATACACACATCTTCATCATCCCACCAGAATTCTCAATAAATTACTCCCTGTCCCGGCTCTGTTTATCCCCTCGTGTGTGTCCCCTCCCTTCCTTCAATCAATCAATCAATCAGGGGTCGACAGCCCCAGTGACAAGGTCAGCTCCTTTGAGCACTCTGGGTCAGGTCCATTTATCTACAACAACCCCAAAATACCCAGCACATGCAAGGTGGGGCAATAGTTATTTCTAACTATGTTATTTCTAACTATGTATTATAAGTAATGAAACAGGTTATAAAAGCATGGCTCAGATGTATGTGTGTGTGTATGTGTGTCCCTGGAGATGCAGGAAAGGTCTATTCTTCACTACCTATCAAGCTGAGGTCCCAAGGCACCAGGAGGCAGAGCTTTTGGCCTTTTTAACAGCGCTGGAATATCTGACCGTGGCCATTCATGAAATGTGTGCTTCCAGTTTATTCATCTCTGGCATGTTACAGTGACGCTGTGAGGCTGAAGGGTCTCTTTGGTTTTAAGATGGATCGTTGTACATTTGGAGGTAGCTAGGGGAATATGGAATTGATTGATCACAGAGGAAAAATAATGCATCGTCTTTCCATTTGAAATGAGTATGCTGTGAGGTAAACAAGACAAGTGATCCATATTCTGGACAAGAAACACTTGATTTCAGCCTTTAGGGCAATGTTTAAGACTGATGTCATAAGAAACTATATATAAAAGCCTTTGGGTTTGTAGCCTAAATGTTGTAAATGTGGGTACAGGAATAAAGCAGAGGAGCAGCATACTATATGCTGGTTTGTTTTTTGATATTAACCTGAGGGATCCTTTTCAACTACTGGTATCTCCCATAGTCTACGTCCACCGCTGCCAGTGATGCCAGGTCCTGACCCCCCTCATCCAGATCATAACCATCCTCTCCATCCTCTCCCTGGGAACCTGCGACCACATACAGCGCACCACATTAAGACAGACCAACAAAAACAAGGGAAATGGTCTTGAACGTGCGATTTCAGGGGTAATGTTTGGAGCTAATGATGTGTCACTGACGTCACTTACCTGAGGCTAAAGTCAAATATAGAGAAACCTTACATTTTACATTTTAGTCATTTAGCAGACGCTCTTATCCAGAGCGACTTACAGTTAGTGAGTGCATAAATTTTTTCATACTTAATGGCCAAACTCTCCATATATGGTCGTATTGTACAGCTACCTGAGGCCCTACCTGTGTTGAAGTCAATGGTCCTTAGCATGTCTGCCACATCCTCTGTGTTGACGACAAAATGGGCCATGCTCTCATAACCCGGCTCTGGACGCTCCATGTTGGACGCCTTGGCAGTGGCAGAGATCCTGACAAGGACGCAGTGGGGAGGTCACAACTCAGAGACAAACAAATAGGTGACGACAGCAATGGATGGCAGCGTCCCCCGTCCCCCGTCCCTGTGGCTGGTAGTGACGCAGGCTGGGTAGGTCTGCTCGATAACTCTACAGGTGGATAGCTTCATTATGATGCATTAGCTATCAGCAGCCAGCAATCACACATAACTGCAAACCACACACATCTCTCATGCAGTTACTTTCAGTTTACAGTCACTGCAATTGGTGTGTTAGTTTATTTTAGTGCTTGTGTTAGTGAATGTAATGCAATTTGTGACTTTCCAGCTAAACACCCCATAAGAAGCAGAATGGAACACTAAACAGATGAAAATAAGAATTTTACTTACTGTTTAAATATATCTTTGATGCTCTGTGGAGAAAATAAATGATCAGTAGGCTATTGCGTGTAGTTTCAATTCCTGCACTTCAATTTCTGAGGTAAATTAGTGCTATATATACTCTAGAATAAGTTTGTAGAGTTTTATATCATTTTTATTCATTTACAATTCATTTAATTTCTATAGCATCCTCTTCTCTCGATCTTCTGAATCACTCGCTCAGTTTGAGTCATTCATAAAACGTGCACCTGCCACGGTCCTGACACTGACACTCACGCTAGCGCTAACAGTTAGGGCTCTATTCAATCCGCATCGCGGAAGTTCAGATTTACAGCGTGATTGAAATTTAAAGGCAATGTTTCCGCTTTAGCGGAGACTGCATTCACAGTAAACGCTGCATATGTCGGCTCAATCGGAAATTACTTTGACATTTCTATTGTGGGATCTGTATCACTCAGGTTTACAGATTGAATAGAGCCCTAAATCGGTTGACAAAACAAAGTGCTTGTAGCATGGACAATGAAGGAGTTGAATAAAGAGACACTTAGATTGTGAGCCTTCACTCAATCTGTAGCTTTTTATAAAGCAAGGGACCTGCATGGAGGAGAGGAGTGTTGGATGAATGGCATGAATGGCACCATCTATCTCTCGCCTGGCGGGGGTTTAAACTACCTGCGGTCTGCAGCAAGGGGCACGTCGTCCCACCTTGCTCTATTACATTGTATTGAAGGCCAGTAGGCCAGCAGTCAAAGAATGAGGCAGGAGTCCCCCGCAGGGGAGGTAGGTGTGTGTGTTTGTGTGTAGGTTTGTCACCAGTTGATCAATGCCTGACCCCTGGGGCTGGAACTCCAGAGGATGCTTCCAGTGTATTGATGGAGAGCGGTGTCAATCACCTCCACAGGGTTACAGTGTGCGTGATCAGAGAATCACAGGACCAGAGTTCCTAGGGGTGTTTTTAAAAGCAGTGTCCCCGCCGACAAGGCTCCCCTGCTGGGCTTTCTACTCATCACTCCTCCCCTGCTCGATACGGCGAAGCCAGAGAGGGCGAAGCACTGCATGACACCCCATTGATCATCGATAGTGGTTTCTCTAAACCTGAGTTAAAGGATGAAAGGATCCTTTACTGCATCTTTGGGCATATCAATGAGCCCGGTCCCAGCATGTACAGGATGTAGACTGTCATTTGTTCAGGTCAGGGGTGAGAGGGGGGGACTATAGTCTCTATGGTGTCTGTGACTCATCATCACTGTTATTACTTTATGCCTTATCATGTCTCATGTGGATTGGGCAGAGCTATTGATCAAACAACTGATCATATTACAGTCAACTCTGATTCTAGTGCAGTTTCCGAGGGGCTGAAACAGGCACATTTTCTGCTCAAGAAGGTATATCTTAACATATACCGGTAATCGTGCTGGAATGACCATCATTCCATTCCATTCAAAGACATACCGGTACACACCCCAGGTCGAGTTACTGAGGCCAGACAGTGCACCCAGGTTCAGGGCTAGTGTTCCATCCATAGTGCCTACCTGTAGGAACACGGCCATCTGTGGCTCCTCCATGGACTGGATGGCTGTCCCCACCAGCTTGACGGAACCCTCCAGGTGGTCTCCGTGGCGACGCATGAGGGAGTGGACGTAACCCAGCTTGTCATCCTGCTGGTGGCTGATCATCCCCACCAACTCCTCCTTCCTCTCCTCCAGGATGGCATAGAGCCCGTCAAACTTATCACACAGACTCTGCTTCTGACGACGCCCGTTCTCCTGCACACAGACACCCATTGAACACTTTATAATAACTTTCATGAATAAGCCTTTATAAATGCTTATACATTTGTATAGAAAAATATATGTATTCTGAACAAAAATATAAACGCAACATGCAACAATTTCAACGATTTTACTGAGTTACAGTTCATGTAAGGAAATCAGTCAATTGAAATAAATTAATTAGGCTCTAATCTATGGATTTCACATGACTGGGAATACAGATATGCATCTGTTGGTCACAGATACCTTAAAAAAAGGTAGGGGCGTGGATCAGAAAACCAGTCAGTATCTGGTGTGACCACCATTTGCCTCATGCAGCACAAATCATTTCCTTCACATAGAGTTGATTGTGGCCTGTGGAATGTTGTCCCCACTCCTCTTCAATGGCTGTGCGAAGTTGCTGGATATTGGCGGGAACCGGAACACGCTGTTGTACACGTCGATCCAGAGCATCCCAAACATGCTCAATGGGTGACATGTCTTGTGCGTATGCAGGCCATGGAAGAACTGAGACATTTTCAGCTTGTTTTAGAACATTTAATTCTCTGGTGGAAATTCCTGCAGTCAGCATGCCAATTGCACGCTCCCTCAAAACTTGAGACATCTGTGGCATTGTGTTGTGTGACAAAACTACACATTTTAGAGTGTGCTTTTATTGTCCCCAACACAAGGTGCACCTGTGTAATGATCATGCTGTTTAATCAGCTTCTTGATATGCCACACCTGTCAGGTGGATGGATAATCTTGGCAAAGTAGAAATGCTCACTAACAGGGATGTAAGCAAATTTGTGCCAAACATTTGAGAGAAATACGATTTTTGTGCATATGGAAAATGTCTGGGATCTTTTATTTCAGCTCATGAAACATGGGACCAACACTTTACATGTAACGCTTATATTTTTGTTCAGCGTATCAATAGTTTATAAATCATTTATTACTATTTATTCATGCTAGTTATTACAATACAACAGGTTCTTCACAGTGATGTGAGTAGTGTGTGTGGTGACCCCACAGTGAGTGATTGTGACTGTGAGGTGAGAAGTGTGAGTGGTTGTAGTGGGTGACATTCTCACCTGGATTGTCCTGCAGATCTCCTCCATCTTAGAGAGGAGGGCCTGGATACGGTCGTTCCCCGCCACCAAGATGGTGATGCTGTCGCTCAGCTCCGTCTATAGCCAATCACAACAGAGCATGATGAGTCAATGTCTCAAATGTACTCACTACACCAGTGGTCATCAACCCTGGTCCTGCTGGAGGACTAAAGGATAAGAAGGCTTTTGTTCCAACCCTGCACTAACACATTAGGTCAGGGTTTCCCAACCCTCTCCTCGGGCCCCCCCAGACGTTTCACATTTTAGTTTTAACCCTAAACTGGCACACCGGATTCAATTACTCAAAGGCTTGATGATTAGTTTACTATTTTAATGGGGGGGGGGGTAGGGTTAGGGTGCGAGTAGAGGCTTGGGAAACCCTGCATTAGGTGGTAGTTCACACAATTGTGAAAATTGAAATATTTAAAGTGTTGTTTTTTAACAATGCATAAAACATTGAGTGAGCAATGAGTGCAAAGAAAAATGTCACCAAAGCCATCTGCTCAATAACATGTCTGTTGCTATGGTCCATTCATACTGTTTTAGCTTATGTAAGTAGATATAGTACATATGTAAACTTTCAACTGTATGAATCATGTTTGTGTGGGTGGCGTTCGTCTTTAGTATTACTCAACAGCCAGACACATTGTCCATCCTTAACAAGTGACCTTCAGTTGAGTCCCACCATATGGTGTCCTCCAGGCTGGTATAGACGGACTCTCACTTTGATATTAGTCAACGTTCACCTTAATGCTGGAGAGAAGAGCTAGTTAGCGGGCAGCCAGCAGCAAGGGAGGAGCTGAGCCTCTGACTTGAGCTCAGAGGAGAATGACTCAAGTCCCAGTGCTGTGGATGGATGAGTCACTCAGAGAGAGAGAGAGAGAGAGAGTGCCAGGGAGAACTATAGGAGCTAATGTTCAGGCATGCCTCTCTCTGCTTGGGCCGACAGTACACAGCATGGCCAGAGGTGGAGGAGATTTGAGAGAGAGGGGAGTGAGATGACCAGTTTGGCATGAGAGTTTATAGTGAGTGAGTTAGAGGGAGAAAGGTTGGGAGTAGAAATTAGTGGCAGCAGACCAGGGCACCGCTGTGTATGTGTGTTTGTGTGTGTGTCCACATGAAGGACAGACAGACACGAATGCTGCACACGACTCAGGGGTGTGATATACAACATTAGCTGTTGTCGTGCCACCAGGCTGACAGGGCCATGGCGCGTGTGTGTGTGTGTGCATGCATGTGAGGTGAGACCCGGCCCGCACAGTGTGAGAACCCCCGCAGGACAGCCACAACTCAATACATCTGTCTGCTGTCACTACACTCAGCACTCACACACACACACACACACACACACACACACACACACACACACACACACACACACACACACACACACACACACACACACACACACACACACACACACACACACACACACACACACACACACACACACACACACACACACACACACACACACACACACACACACACACACACACACACACACACACACCACTTTAAATAACATTCAAATCTCTCTCTGGGGGACATGATGAATAGAGAGTGACAAAGTAAGTAAGCTGTTATATGGGATAATTCCTTTTCATTGTAAGGACGATCTAACAGACAGGAAGACAGACAGCCTACATTTTAGTCATTTAGCAGACACTCTTATCCAGAGCGACTTACAGTTAGTTAGTGAGAGCATACATTATTTTTCTATTTACTTTTATTTTTCATACTGGCCCCCCGTGGGAATCGAACCCACAACCCTGGCGTTGCAAACGCCATGCTCTACCAACTGAGCTACATCCCTGCCGGCCATTCCCTCCCCTACCCTGGACGACGCTGGGCCAATTGTGCGCCGCCCCATGGGTCTCCCGGTCGCAGCCGGCTACGACAGAGCCTGGATTCGAACCAGGATCTCTAGTGGCACAGCTAGCACTGCGATGCAGTGCCTTAGACCACTGCGCCACTCGGATATAGAGTGACATCACAATCAGACCCTTGGCCCTGAGTCAGGGTGTTTCCTTACCTTCTGTCTCTTGTAGACGTTCTGCAAGGGGGCCACCTCACAGTCCTTGTGCTGGCCAAACACTTTGCACATGGAGCAGGTGGGCGTCTCACAGCTCAGGCAGTAGATGTTGATCTTCTCCTCATCATGCTCCTGACACATCAGCTGCTGCTGCTCCACCTTGGTGGGGTTCAGGGGCCTGCAGGGACACAGAAGTAAAGGAATTACCTGTTATAGAGACACTCAATCACACACACACACACACACACACACACACACACATACACACACACACACACACACAGCTGCCTCTGTCTTATGAGACTCATCACTTCTGTCCATGACAGAGGAAATATCCTTATGGGAACAGCCCTTACAAGGAATTAGGGGATTTCACCAACAGTTTACCTCATATGTAATTTACAGCTATTGACCACCATTCTCCAGGGGAAAAGTCCACTCTTCGTTTCACAGTCACTGGAACAGCTGATGATGAACTAGCTTTGGTAATGTTTCATTTCTCTCCGTTGCTCTGCTGGGTTGAGATGCTATAATATAACTGCAAGCCAATTTACAAAGTCGATAAATGTAATTGAGGAATATAATTTCGAGTGTAATTAGATAGATTGTTCATATAGCTCAAATCTGTGTTACAGACCAAAAGTACTTCCCTTGATGTAATTATATTATATTTTATATTTATCGTGTCAAGTGACAAGGCATGAAAAAGCTGTAATATTGCTACAGGTTTCCAAACGATATATATATTGGAAAAGACTGCCACCCAGTGGCCTTCTATACAAAGTGAGACTGTGTACTCAGAGATGGGTCCTATTTCTGTCGTTGAACGAATATATACCACATACTACACATTCAGCGATGGAATATAAATTGTTCGTTTGTTTACAGCCAAAAAGACCAAGGGCTTTTAAATATGGCCGTAATGCGCTTTTACAACACCCAGTAGTAATAAATTACAGTACTGCTCTCTACTGGTAAACAGACATTACTGCCCGATGGTATCCTATTTCGAACAGCTCCATACACTTCCTCCAGATTCTTGACCTCACCCCCACCCCCACCGCTTGAGGTTACTGCTATAGGATCACCTATTCACCTGGAAATGTTAGGCTATTGTCTGTTTTACGGCATTGAAGTAACTTCGTGGTATATACCTTTTTTGTTTCTTTTTTTAAATATGTAACTTAATGTCTTTATTTTTTTTGATGTGTTTGAAGGCACTCGGTTTTCTGGAATAAGTTGAAAGCCAGACGGAGCCGACATCCAGCACCATACAGGTCCAAAGAGTGGTAGGATTAGGATAGAAAGTAGGATAAAAGTACTAACCCTAACCCTAGAATGGTAATACAATGCACCTACAGTAATTGCAGCACTTCCCAAATATAAAATCTATGGTACTTAACCCCCAGAATCACACGTCTGTAGCTGTGTCAATGCCACAAGAGGACATATGGTTCTCATGTTTACCACTCCATCGAGGCAGCGATAAAGTGTGCTTGTTATAACACCAACATTGAGGACTGCCAGGGACTGAGGTTTCCATATTCCTGGTATGTTAAAATGACACAGCTGATGAACACACACAGAAGCTCTAGTGACACCATTAGAATAAAAACAGATGCCTAGGTCTGTTGCATGAGCAGTGAATATTTTGGAAGCAATATTTCATGGCTGAGTTCACCTAAGGTTGTAGTAGTAGCACATGCCTTGTGCTCATGGCTACTGTTGACATGGCTACTGTTGACATGGCTATTGTTGACATGACAAGTCAACAGAGGTCAGCAGAAGTGTGAAGGCACGTTGTATGGATGATGTTGACATTTGGTGAGCATTCTGGTTCAGGTGGATACTTACAGAAAGCAGTCACGTACCCCTTACACACACAGACACAGACACACACACACACACACACACACACACGCACACACACACACACACACACACACACACCTGACCTGCTGGACTCTTCTTGTTTGTAGATGTCTATGATGTTCTCTACTAGCAGGTTCCTCTGTAGGCCATACACACCATGACGGTCCAACACCACTTCGTGACGACATGACGGGCAGCGGAACCGCCCCCCCGTGGACATAGACCTGGACCCTCGAGACTGCCACAGGGGGTTGGCAGCCTGGGTGGGGAGGGTCAGAGGGGGGTAGTGGAGTCAAAGGGTAAAGCATCACTCTAACTGGGGGTATTGAGGAGTTAAGGGAGGATATGGACAACAGCTGTTTGACACAGATACTGTATGTTGTGTACTCAAGAGGAAACCAAAACATGATTCTGCACTGAGCAGTGCTTAACACTGGGTACAAAGTGACCTACCACTGAGTTACACACCTCTTTAAGGCCTCAAAGGTGATATGATATCAAGAAGACTAACATTGCTAGACAGCTTAGCCAGGATAGACCCACAACCCATGATCATGTCAGTCAGTGTGAGGGACCTTTCACACAGAAACTAACGTTAATCTACGGAGCCACTGATCCATCCACCTGCCACTAAATATTGGTTTGTCTTGTTGCCTGGCAACAAACTTCTCAGAGCTTCTCCTTGCACACCAGCAGATATGATCCTCTACAGTCGATACTTCATGACGAAGACCTCAACCAAAAGTGATTAAGGCTGTGGACACCGTAGACTGAAATGTTTATGTTGAATAAGGCCAAATAGTTCAGACTATGTGGAGTAGTTAGTAATTACTATAAATAAGTGAAATGTATCCTGTCTTGGTCTGTGATGAGTAGACCACTTTCCACCAGAGAAGGCTGGTGGAAGGAGCTATAGGAGGACAGACTCATTGTAATGGCTGGAATGGAATCAATGGAACGGAGTCAAATATGTGGTTTCCATATGTTTGATACCATTTCATTATTCCATTCCAGCCATTACAATGAGCCCGTCCCCATATAGCTCCTCCCACCAGTCTCTGTTGCTTTCCACTAAAGGCCACGACCTGAGAGGCAGAGCTTGTTGCATCCTCTCTCTCCCCTAGGACTGAGGCAGCTGTTGGAGTCTCTCATATCTGAATGGCTCCTTCAGTTCGAACAGTCAATTGAAGGGTTCAACAGGACCAAAGATATACACTGAGTGTAAAAAAAACATTAGGTACACCTTCCTAATATTGAGTTGCACCCCCTTTTGCCCTCAGAAGAGCCTCAATTAATCGGGGCATGGACTCTACAAGGTATCGAAAGCGTTCCACAGGGCTGCTGGCCCATGTTGACTCCAATGCTTCCCACTGTTGTGTCAAGTTGGCTGTATGTCCTTTGGGTGGTGGTTCATTCTTGATCCACACGGGAAACTCTTGAGCGTGAAAAACCCAGCAGCTTTGCAGTTCTTGGCACACTCAAACTGGTGAGGGAGTGGGAATCTGAACACACTATTGCAGTAATGTCTGTTTTGTATATACACTGAGTGTACAAAACATTAGGAACACGACATAGACTGACCAGGTGAATGCTATGATCCCTTGTTGATTTCACCTGTTAAATCCACTTCAATCAGTGTAGAGGAGACAGGTTAAAGAAGGATTTTTAAGCCATGAGACAATTGAGACATGGATTGTGTATGTTTGCCTTTCAGAGGGTGAATGGGCAAGACAAAAGATTTAAGTGCCTTTGAACGAGGTATGGTAGTAGGTGCCAGGCGCACCGGTTTGAGTGTGTCAAGAACTGCAACGCTGCTGGGTTTTTTGCGCTCAACAGTTTCCTGTGTGTATCAAGAATGGTCCACCACCCAAAGGACATCCATTGAACTTGACACAACTGTAGGAAACATTGGAGTCAACATGGACCAACAACCCTGTGGAATGTTTTCGACATCTTGTAGAGTCCATGCCCCGACGGATCGAGGCTGTTCTGAGGGCAAAAGGGGGTGAAACTCAATATTTTTCTAATGTTTTGTACATTCAGTGTATGGTATGAGTCCCCCTTCATGGTCTTTGAGAGTAACTGATATGATTGTACAAAGAATGGCTCTCCAAGGCCCGGTTTATGCCATGATAAATAGAGATCATGTTCTGCTCTAACACTGTGATCCCCCTTAGAGCCATAACACCTCACTGTGTATTTTTTACTTTCACAAGTAACTATGGGTGTCATGGGCAGTCGAAGCTAAACAGCACTACTCATAAGACATGTACTCTGCTCAGCACCTGGAAACAGTGGAATCATGGCTCCAAAATCACAGACCACTGCTGGACCACTAATGGACTACACATGGCCTCAGAACAAGAGAGTGATGCAAAAAAACGTCCTCCCCTCTTACCTGGAAGACGTCGTTGACACACTTCCTGCAGAGGTTGTGTTGGCAGGGCAGTATAACCACAGGCTTGGTGAACATCTCCAGGCAGATGGGGCAGATGAGCTGCTTCTCCAGGTTATCCATGGTGCTCGAATCCTCCAGCTGCACAGGTTTGTAGCCCAGCGCAAAGTTCATCCCAAACACTGGACTGTGTGAAGCTCTGAGTCTTTCTGAAGCTCTGAATCTGTGAAGCTCTCAAGAAGAAAGAACTGGGGAGCTTCCTGTGCCTCTCCTCTTTCTCTATCACTCTATCCCTCGATCTCACTGCCTGTCTCTCCAACAGCTTAGAGACCCTCCTTGACAGGGAGATATATTTAGCCGCTGTTTGTTCTCGGTTACTGTCCAACTGCATGCCACTCTGGCCCACTGGGATTCCTAACCCCAGATCCAAAACACAAACCAGGAGCGTGGTAGAAGACAGCAGGGAGAGATTCCTCTGTCCATTTGTATTTTTTGCGGTAAACTGATAGGGTAACAGACAGGAAGGCCTGTGCGGGCACACACTGGAATATTCAGTGGGGTAGGGGTGTATTGGAGGCTCCTGAGTCACTGGGCCTAAGAGAGATAGATGGCGCCGATGACATGAGGCACTAAAATATTTAACACCACGTCAGTAACACAGCATCAATCTAAAGCCTGCTGAACACGGGCCAGACTGGAGGCAGTCACTCACTGCTGTTGGCATCACAACAAACAAATGACTCCACTCCACACTACATGTTGTTGTGCTACTAGTCAATTACTCAAAACCATTACTTGAGCAATGGGCAGCAATTATATGGCGTCCTACCGGTATGTTATCAGTTGATACTTTCGGGGAATAGCAGGCTCATATAATGCTCATCTGAATATTTTCTACATCAACGTTTCAACTTTCAATGTGCCTTCTATGAAAAATACACTGAACAAAAATATAAACGCAACATGCAACAATTTCAAAGATTTTACTGAGTTACAGTTCATATAAGGAATCAGTCAATTGAAATAAATAAATTAGGCCCTAATCTATGGATTTCACATGACTGGGAATACAGATATGCATCTGTTGGTTACAGATACCTTAAAAAAAAAAAAGTAGGGGTGTGGATCAGAAAACCAGTCAGTATCTGGTGTGACCACCATTTGCCTCATGCAGTGCGACACATCTCCTCCACGTAAAGTTGATGAGGCTGTTGATTGTGGCCTGTGGAATGTTATCCCACTCCTCTTCAATGGCTGTGGGAAGTTGCTGGATATTGGCGGGAACTGCTACACGCTGTCGTACACGTCAATCCAGAGCATCCAAAACATGCTCAGTGGGTGACATGTCTGGTGAGTATGCAGGCCATGGAAGAACTGAGACATTTTCAGTGTACAGATCCTTGCGACATGGGGCAGTGCATTATCATGCTGAAACATGAGGTGATGGCGGCGGATGAATGGCATGACAATGGGCCTCAGGGTCTCATCACAGTATCTCTGTGCATTCAAATTGCCAACGATAAAATGCAGTTGTGTTTGTTGTGCGTAGATTATGCCTGCCCATACCATAATCCAACCGCCACCATGGGGCACTCTACTCACAATGTTGACATCAGCAAACCGCTCACACACACTACGCCATATGCGCTGTCTGCCATCTGCCCGGTACAGTTGAAACTGGGATTCATCCATGAAGAGCACACTTCTCCAGCATGCCAGCGGCCATCGAAGGTGAGCATTTGCCCACTGAAGTCAGATATGACTCCGAACTGCAGTCAGGTAAAGACCCTGGTGTCACGCCCTGACTCTGGGGACTCTTATTTGTTGAGTCAGGGTGTGTATTTTCTATGTGGTGTAGGTCTATGTTGTAAGTCTAGTATGTCTAGATCTATGTTGGCCGGTGTGGTTCCCAATCAGAGGCAGCTGTCGCTCGTTGTCTCTGATTGGCACTAGTGGGTTGTGGGATCTTGTTCTGTATAAGGTTTGTTGTGTTACCTTAGGACTTCACGTGTCGTTTATTGTTTTGTTGTGTGTTTATTCGTGTAATAAACATGTTTGCATATCACGCTGCGCCTTGGTCTGACCCGTCAATCAACGAACGTGACACCTGGTGAGGACGACGAGCACGCAGATGAGCTTCCCTGAGACGGTGGACATTCCTGCAGTCTGCATTGACAATTGCACGCTCCCTCAAAACTTGAGACATCTGTGGCATTGTGTTGTGTGACAAAACTGCACATTTTAGAGTGGCCTATTATTGTCCCCAGCACAAGGTGCACCTGTGTAATGATCATGCTGTTTAATCAGCTTCTTGGATGGACTATCTTGGCGAAGGAGAAATGCTCACTAACAGGGATGTAAACACATTTGTGCAAAAAAATTGAGAAGAAAAAATATTTTTGTGCGTATGGAACATTTCTGGGATCTTTTATTTCAGCTCATGAAACATGGGATCAACACTTTAAATGTTGCGTTTATATTTTTGTTAAGCATAATTATCAGTGATAAAATATCCAAAGTATTCAAAAGATCCAAGCTGGAATGTGAGCCTATAAGAAAATGCCTCAGCTGATTAACTGACCCGGAAAGACTTTATCTGAAACACACCCTCTGACCAGTGGCCCATAACCCTCCACTTCCTGGTTACTAAACAGATGAGGTAATTGCTGAGGTAAGGCTAAGCTGCTAATAAGTTTACAGGGACTTTTATAGGACATGGAGGCTTTGCGCAGAGTAAGCCAAACACACACCCAACTGTACTTCACTCTATCTCCCTGTTGCCTATATTTTACTGGAGTAGCCTACAAGCAGGCACCCTCTAAATATGTAGCTAGTTTCATAAATGTGGCTCGTGGCAACAATTTAGCTTGATGCTTTGTTGCCATTGTGAAATGTTGGCAGACTTGGATAACATCTTCAAATATTGTAACAGTAGAAAACGTTGCTATTCCTGATAAAGATAAGTGTGTTTAGTATTTGGTCTTATGGCAGCCAATTTTATGTTCACCAATGATTGCAGTGTTCTTTTGGTCGGAGAGAACAGAAAGAAAAGATAGCATTCTTCTGTGAACAGATATACTTTGTTTGGTTCATGGAGAGCCATTCCATATATACAGTGGGGAGAAGTATTTGATACACTGCCGATTTTGCAGGTTTTCCTACTTACAAAGCATGTAGAGGTCTGTAATTTTTATCATAGGTCCACTTCAACTGTGAGAGAAATCCAGAAAATCACATTGTATGATTTTTAAGTAATTAATTTGCATTTTATTGCATGACATAAGTATTTGATACATCAGAAAAGCAGAACTTAATATTTGGTACAGAAACCTTTGTTTGCAATTACAGAAATCATACATTTCCTGTAGGTCTTGACCAGGTTTGCACACATTGCAGTAGGGATTTTGGCCCACTCCTCCATACAGACCTTCTCCAGATCCTTCAGGTTTCGGGGCTGTCGCTGGGCAATACAGACTTTCAGCTCCCTCCAAAGATTTTCTATTGGGTTCAGGTCTGGAGACTGGCTAGGCCACTCCAGGACCTTGAGATGCTTCTTACGGAGCCACTCCTTAGTTGCCCTGGCTGTGTGTTTCGGGTCGTTGTCATGCTGGAAGACCCAGCCACGACCCATCTTCAATGCTCTTACTGAGGGAAGGAGGTTGTTGGCCAAGATCTCGCGATACATGGCCCCATCCATCCTCCCCTCAATACGGTGCAGTCGTCCTGTCCCCTTTGCAGAAAAGCATCCCCAAAGAATGATGTTTCCACCTCCATGCTTCACGGTTGGGATGGTGTTCTTGGGGTTGTACTCATCCTTCTTCTTACTCCAAACACAGCGAGTGGAGTTTAGACCAAAAAGCTCTATTTTTGTCTCATCAGACCACATGACCTTCTCCCATTCCTCCTCTGGATCATCCAGATGGTCATTGGCAAACTTCAGACGGGCCTGGACATGCGCTGGCTTGAGCAGGGGGACCTTGCGTGCGCTGCAGGATTTTAGACTGTGGTCCCAGCTCTCTTCAGGTCATTGACCAGGTCCTTCCGTATAGTTCTGGGCTGATCCCTCACCTTCCTCATGATCATTGATGCCCCACGAGGTGAGATCTTGCATGGAGCCCCAGACCGAGGGTGATTGACCGTCATCTTGAACTTCTTCCATTTTCTAATAATTGCGCCAACAGTTGTTGCCTTCTCACCAAGCTGCTTGCCTATTGTCCTGTAGCCCATCCCAGCCTTGTGCAGGTCTACAATTTTATCCCTGATGTCCTTACACAGCTCTCAGGTCTTGGCCATTGTGGAGAGGTTGTAGTCTGTTTGACTGAGTGTGTGGACAGGTGTCTTTTATACAGGTAACGAGTTCAAACAGGTGCAGTTAATACAGGTAATGAGTGGAGAACAGGAGGGCATCTTAAAGAAAAACTAACAGGTCTGTGAGAGCCGGAATTCTTACTGGTTGGTAGGTGATCAAATACTTATGTCATGCAATAAAATGCAAATTAATTACTTAAAAATCATACGTGATTTTCTGGATTTTTGTTTTAGATTCCGTCTCTCACAGTTGAAGTGTACCTATGATAAAACATTACAGACCTCTACATGCTTTGTAAGTAGAAAAACCTGCAAAATCGGCAGTGTATCATATACTTGTTCTCCCCACTGTATATATATATATATACATACAGTGCCTTCAGAAAGTATTCAGACCCCTTGACTTTTCCCACATTTTGTTACGTTACAGCCTTATTCTAAAATGGATTAAATATTACTTTTTTCTCAGCAATCTACACACACTACCCCATAATGACAGTGAAAAAAGTTTTTGAAATCTTTGCAAATGTATATAAAAAAAAAACATAAATCCCTTATTTACATAAGTATTCAGACCCTTTGCTATGAGACTCGAAACTGAGCTCAGGTGCATCCTGTTTCCATTGATCATCATTTAGATGTTTCTACAACTTGATTGGAGTCCACCTGTGGTAAATTCAATTGATTGGGCATGATTTGGAAAGGCACACACCTGTTTATATAAGGTCCCACAGTTGACAGTGCATGTCATAGCAAAAACCAAGCTATGAGGTCAAAGAAATTGTCCATAGAGATCCGAGACAGGATTATGTCGAGGCACAGATCTGGGGAAGGGTACCAAAACATGTCTGCAGCATTGAAGGTCCCCAAGAACACAATGGCCTCCATACGTTTGGAATCATCAAGACTCCTCCTAGAGCTGGCCGCCTGGCCAAACTGAGCAATCCGGGGAGAAGGGCCTTGGTCAGGGAGGTGACCAAGAACCCTATGGTCACTCCGACAGAGCTCTAGAGTTCCTCTGTGGAAATGGGAGAACCTTCCAGAAGGACAACCATCTCTGCAGCACTCCACCAATCAGGTCTTTATGGTAGAGTGGCCAGACAGAATCCACTGCTCAGTAAAAGGCACATGACAGCCCGCTTGGAGTTTGCCAAAAGGCACCTAAAGACTCTCAGACCATGAGAAACAAGATTCTCTGCTCTGATGAAACCAAGATTGAACTCTTTGGCCTGAATGCCAAGCGTCACGTCTGGAGGAAACCTGGCACCATCCCTACGGTGAAGCATTGTGGTGGCAGCACCATGCTGTGGGAATATTTTTCAACGGCAGGGACTGTGAGACTAGTCAGAATCGAGGCAAAGATGAACGGAGCAAAGTACAGAGAGATCCTTGATGAAAACCTGCTCCAGAGCGCTCAGGACCTCAGACTGGGGCGAAGGTTCACCTTTCAACAGGACAACGACCCTAAGCACACAGCCAAGACAACGCAGGAGTGGCTTCGGAACAAATCTCTGAATGTCCTTGAGTGGCCCTGCCAGAGCCCGGACTTGAACCCGATTGAACATCTCTGGAGAGACCTGAAAATAGCTGTGCAGCAACGCTCCCCATCCAACCTGACAAAGCTTGAGAGGATCTGCAGAGAATGGGAGAAACTCCCCAAATACAGGTGTGCCAAGCTTGTAGCGTCATACCCAAGAAGACTCGATGCTGTAATCGCTGCCAAAGGTGCTTCAACAAAGTACTGAGTAAAGTGTCTGAGTACTTATGTAAATGTGTTATTTCAACAATGTATAAAAACCTGTTTTTGCTTTGTCATTATGGGGTATTGTGTGTAGATTGCTGAGAAAAAAGTAATATTTAATCCATTTTAGAATAAGGCTGTAACGTAACAAAATGTGGAAAAAGTCAAGGGGTCTGAATACTTTCCGAAGGCACTGTATCACACTCCAGGAACCCCAGGTAGAGTAGCTGCTGCTTTCCCAACAGCTAATGGGGATCCTAATAAAATACCAACCATTCTCAGTGTTGAGGATTCAGAGTCCACAATAACTACACAATGACGCACACAGAAGACATTGTACAAATCCCCCTTCTTTTAATTGTTTCGATTTCATTATATAAATACACATTTACAGATAATTTCTGTCCATGAGACATCATGGTGAACAATGAATGACAATGAAAGCATCGACAAAACTACAATCAATCATTTCCGAGTTCTCATATTCCCGTGTCCTATAAGAGAGTGATGAGATGGAGACAGCCTTGCCCCCTACACTCAGAGCAGATAGATGCACACTGCCTGTCTGTCTGCTACTGTAGCCCAGAGCCATCGTGGCCTAGCCAGTTAGGACATTGCCTGCCTACCTCTGTCAACCAGTTGCCCAGCCCATTTGGAGGACCACTTTGGCTAGTCTAGGGTCCTCTCTTCCAAACTGTCAACATGTTGTTTTTTTAAACAGCTCTTTCGGTTTGACATAAATACAAAATAGACAATGTACACTATTTAAATGGGGTTGATTCTTAAAACATTTTCCATTCAACAAAGATTCTCAAACAACGTTATTACAATGTTATTTGCATGTGACACACATACTGTGATTATTATTATTTACAGCAGATAAGGATCACCAGAATAAATAAAAGGTCTTTCTCCTCTCTGAGCCCTAGGACCAGATACTGCACATTTATGTTGAAATGCATCAGATTTACTATGGTTTGTGAAAACGCATAACCAATAGACTGAAAAATCAGGAGGGTTTTGGCTATTAACTTAGTGAAATGAAGAGGTGAGAAAAGGTGCTATAAATTCCAGTAAGAAATTGAAGCTACTGGTAGATCATTTCTATGGAAACACTCATGAGAAAAAACATCCAAAGCTACAAAATATAAAATGGCTGCTTGACATCATTTGATGACATGACTTTAGTTTAGCCTAACTTTCGGGTTGTTCTTCGGCCAAGACACAAGGTGGTTAACACCATGTACTAGCCCCTCTTTAGGAAACACAGAATGCCCTTTTCAAATGACAAGGGGATGACTGACTGACCACAGCACTAGATGAACAAACCAACAACGACTTTGTACAATGCTCTACACACACACCCCCACCCACCACTGGGACGGACTGACTCGCAATAACAATGTGGCATCCATTCACTTCACTGTTTTCACTATTCTGATTACACAACATTTGAGAAACCGCTGACTCTGCACCCCCAGGGTCATAAAGAGAGCTGAACTGAAGTACAAACTGCTGGTTGGGTGATCTGTACAGATCCTAACCCCGCTGTGTGACATTGTATCAACTAATCTGAGAGAAAGTACTGTAGAAAGGAGTGAGCAGGAGGACTAATGCCTAGTTGGAAATAGTAGTCATGTGCCTCTTTAGCCCAGAAAATACTCAACATGGCTCAGTCCACCAAAACCCCATGGAAAACACCCTGGTGTGTTATTTCTTAAAAATCTCAAATCATTGGTGATAGGTTCTCTCTGTAGGCAGTTCAGAGAACATAGTGGTCATCTAGGATGTGGCATAGCGTGCACTTAGTGGCTGGGTCAAACACAGACCCCAACAGCACATACCACCTGTTTCTCCATGTTACAACATCAGACTATGACAATGCAAAGCAAAACCACCATTTGAGAGGGGAGACGTTTGATAAGTAGTTGGGTTGCAGTCAGCTAGCTGTTGCTATTTGTCAGTTCCACCGAATACAGAGAGAAGTGTGCTGACTGTTTCAGTAAGCAGTGCTGGTTGGCTGGAACCATTTGTTAGCTGACAGCCCATCAGAAATGATCATTTACCCACTTCACAGGTTTCAAAAGTGCATAGTAGACCCAAATGCATACGCCTCAAAGGAACAATCCTCTCAGGTTAGCTCTAGTGTCACGAGGAGAAACTGGTGGCTGCTGAACGCATGGAGTTAGCGCCATCTAGTTTGGCTTTGGTCTAACTAACATAATTGTGACATCAATTAGCAATAAAATAAAACAGTCAACACATTTTCCTGTTAAAAATGCTTAATTCTTTCACTGCACATTTTCACTGTTCTTGAATGTCTGCCCCACTCTTTGGTCTCATTCAGGTGGAGGTGGATGGGGAGAACCCTGGTTGTGTAGCATACTGTAAGTGCACCCGGCTGGAGCTGGGGGTATCGCTGACAGGGGTAAGGTGGTGGTGGTGGTGGTGTCTGTAGTAGAGGGGTGTGGGTGTGTGGGGTATGTATGTGCCAGTGTTGTACAGTAGGGACATGCAGATCAAACATAACACATGCACATCCTCTGATCCATGCTTTAGTCTTCGGGAGGTGGAAGGTTTGAATCAGGCTATTTAAAACCCAAAACTCAGACTGAACTTGAAATTAGTCTCCAATCCCAGAGCTCTGACAGAGACGAGAATCCAAGAGGGAGACAGAGAGCGGGGGGGGGAGGATTGACACAGAGGGACAAAATGAAGGAGTGATCGGAGAGAGTTTGTTCTAATCCTCAGTTTGGTGGATAGATATAGATATATATCATGTCTATCAAGTCATAAGGAGTCCTGGTCTCTTGGCAGCGTGCCACCCGTGTCCATTTGGTTGGACCTTTGCCACAGTATGGGGGGTTGACTGGCTGGCTGGTTGACTGGCACTGGTGAGTCCTGGCTCTGGTGACAGCTGGCCTGGCTGGCTGCTGGGGGCTCCAGGGTGGGGCCCTCGGGGGGCCTGGCCGTGCCCACCTGAGGGGAGGGCTCCAGCGGGTAGACAGGGCTGGGAGGGGAGGGTCACTGCTGGGGCTTGGAGGTGGGCTGGCTGGCTGCAGGCTGGGAGGTCTCTGGAACCTCGACGGTGATGGAATGCGGCTGGATCACGATAGGGGCACGCGGACCTGCAGGAAGACATGGGACTGGGTCAGATTAACTACCAAAAAATAACCCTCAATAGAGAAAAGGACAGTTGATACAGTGCCTTCAGAACGTATTCATAACCCTTGACTTACTCCACATTGTTATTTTACAGCCAGAATTCAAAATTGATTAAATTATTGTTTTTTTTCTCACCCATCTACACACAAAGTGAAGACATGTTTAGACATTTTAGCAATTGTATTGAAAATGAAATACAGAAATATCTCATTTACGTAAGTATTCACACCCCTGAGTCAATACCTTGTAGAAGCACATTTGGCAGCGATTACAGCTGTGAGTCTTTCTGGGTAAGTCTTTAAGAGCTTTCCACACCTGGATTGTGCAACATTTACCCATTATTATTTTTAAAATTCTTCAAGCTCATACCCATAACATGATGGAGCCACCACTATGCTTGCAAATATGGAGAGTGGTACTCAGTAATGTGTTGTATTGGATTTTCCCCAAACATAACACCTTGTATTCAGGACAAAAAGTTAATTGCTTTGCCACATTTTTTGCAGTATTACTTTAGTGCCTTGTTGCAAACAGGATGCACGTTTTTGAATATTATTATTCCGTACAGGCTTCTTTTTCCCTCTGTCAATTAGGTTAGTATTGTGGAGTAACTACAATATAACAGTTTTAAAGTCACCATTGGCCTCATGGTGAAATCTCTGAGCGGTTTCGTTCCTCTCCAGCAACTGAGTTAGGAAGGACGCCTGCATCTTTGTAGTGAATGGGTGTATAGATACACCATCCAAAGTGTAATTAATAACCAGCAAAGGGATATTTTTATGTCAGGTTATTTAAAAAAAAATTAAATGTCATGTACCAATAGGTGCCCTTCTTTGCGAGGCATTGGAAAACCTTCCTGGTCTTTGTGGTTGAATTGTGTTTGAAATTCACTGCTCGACTGAGGGACCTTACAGATAATTGTATGTGTGGGATATGTAGATGAGGTAGTCATTCAAAAATCATGTTAAAACACTATTATTGCACACAGTCCATGCAACGTATTATGTGAATTGTTAAGCTAACTTTTATTCCTGAACTTATTTAGGCTTGCCATAAGAAAGGGGTTGAATACTTATCAACTCAAGATGTTTCAGATTCTCATTTCTAAATAATTTGTAAAAATTCCAAGAAACATAATTCCACTTTGACATTATGGGGTATTGTGTAGTAAGCCAGTGACAAAAAAAATCTAAATACATTTTAAATTCAGGCTGTAACACAACAAAATGTGGAAAAAGTCAAGGGGTGTGAATACTTTCTGAAGGTGCTGTCTGTTAGCTATATGTCCCACTCTATACTAATTGAGTGAGTAAAGGACTATGTTACATATCCTGTAAAATAATCATCTATTGTTTGTACGATACTAAAGGTCAAATTCTGAAGTCAAATGAATAACCAACAGTCATGTACAGACAGGTAACACCAATGATCACAATGACTTTCATACGTCAATGACAATGACTTTGTAAACATCAAATGACATATCAGGGTTCTGTAGATATAGGCTAATGATGACATGATGCCAATGAGGAATTAAACAGGAATATCAGTACAGGTTGAGGTTCATGCAGACTGTATAAGCCAAAGGTCTGTGACTACAATAAAACTTCCTCACAAAGGATAAAGCCGCTAGGCTGAGGCCATGAGGGCAAAGTCTTGGCTGCCAGGTACACACAGAGTATTTACTGGCTGGATGATTGATAGGAAGCTTCCAATCCTCATCTAGCTTTGCTGCATTAAATCCTGTTATCAAAAAATAAGTGACCTCTTCTGAAATACAGAGTTCCAAATCCAGCAAGTCATGTTTTATGATTTTTGTTTTGTTAATGCACCGTCTTATAAGTTATCATCTTATACCAGTTTGTCATGATTTAGGCTACTTGCTGAGTGAAAATGTTAAATAAAAAGTTCACAATTTTAGCAATAGCCTGTTGCATCTCAAATAGATACAATTCACAAGGGAATGTATTATTAGTAGGAGGCATGACCTCAAGTTGGGCCCTTGTTTAACTGTCCTCAGGTGTAACCTGTCCTGAAGTGTTGAAACTCCACGAGGGTCATGTTCAGTAGGTGGGAAAAGTTTTGAAACAAGGAAGTGCTACCTGAGTGTGTCCAGTGAGGACACAGAATTTGGTTTTCTGTTGCAAAACGTTTTGCTACGGTGTGCCCTACTGAACATGACCAAGTGTGTATCAGGAACCTACCTGCCCTCCCCTGGCGAGGCTCATCCACACTGTCACTGTCCTTATAGAGGACACATCCAAAACGCAGCAGAGGGAGAGCACAGAGCACTGCTTTGAAAGCACTTCTACTATTAGTGTTAGACTACTACCCCTACTATATCAGATTACAATGTAATGCAATGATAGTAATGATTCACTACTATCCCAACATCATTATATAGCCATTGTCTCTCGAAGCTTCAAGCTATCACTCTGGTATTGCTAAAGAGAGAATAATAGACTGACACGTCAACAGGCGTCATGGTGTTGAACAAACAGACCACTAACAGAGCGAGGACAGTGCTGAGGAAGTAGGTGTGAGGTGAGATGACAATGGCTGGATGTGACAGGACAGCGGTGGTCCATCTAGGGGGTATTGGTCTCAACACTGCACTGTACACACACCTGTCCCTAGTCCCTACCACAGGTGACAGTGGAACCCCACGAACAAACTCTCAAAATACATCCTAATAGTACTCTGTGGGTATCATGGAATATTCCAGACTATTCGAGTATTAGTATATTCCAGACTATCTAGGAACTCTATGCCCGGTCTTTAATGGAAACACTACTAATGCTCCTAACCTAAAGTGGTTGGCACCTGACTGACATACTAGAATGTTCTGTAATTCCCTGGGAGTTAGCCTACAGTATGTGTAGGTTAATGAAGGCATATCCTGTGAGGTTACTGTTTCAACCCTGCTTCAGAGTGACAACCCCCTCCCCCCTTCTTTTCTCACAGCTATGATTAGTCTATCACCTCCACCACTATGAAGGGAGAGCATGAATCATAGAAATAGAATGAATCAATATAGTTCTATAGTATGAATACTGTGCGAACACTGTAGTTGCTGGACCCACACTGGACTGGCTCAGCCAAGCGGTCAGCTACCTCTACGTCAGGCCCCAGTGGGATCATAGGGTTTTGTTAGCTTATGACAAAAAGGGACTGTGCTTTTAGCACATTGCTCTCTGTCCTGCACATACCCACAGGCTAGGTTTTCAACTAACCAGCCTGACATTTCATTGATGTTTCATATAAATAGACTGCTACGGTTTATTGAAGGCAGCTAATGTGTTGTGGGTTGAGTGAGTACTTGGCTGCTGTGGGGCCCTGTGTTGCCTAAGGGCTGGATTCAATCCGTATCGCGGAAGGTACGCGTTAAAATGTAAAGGTAATTTCCGACTGAGCCGACATATGTAGCGTTTAACGTGAATGCAGTCTCCTCGCGGAAGATGTGTGTTATAGCACGATTGAAATTTAAAGGCAATGTTCCCGCAGAGACTGCATTCACGTTAAACGTCGGCTCAATCACAAATGACCTTTACATTTTAACGCGGATCCCCGATACGGACTGAATCCAGCCCTAAGTGTCCCTGTGGTCTTGCTGGTAAGGTAATGGGATACTGGGCAGAGATTAGGCTATATCTAATTACCATTTACCAGGCCTAATTAATAAAGAGATGACATCCACTTTATAACCAAGGCAGCAAATAGTTACTGCAGATACATTCATGATGGACCAAACACAATCAAAATACTTAGCAATCAATTAACTGAAATGATTGTTATGGAACGATTGCAAGAGACATTATATACAAGGCAAGCTCATGTGGCCATGCTCAAAACATTTTGAAGTAACAGCCATGACGTCATGCAACACTGACAGGCAAACAGAATGGATGGATAGTGAGCCAGTCGACCTACCAAACAGCTGAACATGGTACAAAGGCACCATGTGTCACTACGAACAAATACAGCACGGTGAAACAGGGGTTGGTCTGGGGCGTGACGGATGGACAACACGATGCAGATGGGATAAGTACAACCAGTACATCAGGTAGACGGGGGGGCTTACGAGTCATTTAGACTCTGGCAGCGTTTCGCCTGGGTTCTCAGCAGCCACTGGACTGGTCGGGTTGTCACCCACTGGACTGGCAGGGCCTAGGTTGATGCTCTCAGCCACAGGGCTCGATACAGCGATAGGTACGGCTACAGGTATGGGTTGGACAATGATTACTGTGTCACCTGGTGGATCAAAACACACAAACGTACAGAAACACCTCTCTGTCAGAACGAGATGAACCTGTCCTGCTCATTGGGCCAGAGTATACTGATGTGTTATCCCCATTCCCATACTGCCCTGGGGCTGATAGCTTGTCATGTCCTGTTTAGCTTTCAGGTACTGTAGATGAAGCACAGTTCCTGTTTTTGTGTGAGATTATTCATGTCACCTAGGTATTCGCCTAAACATGTGAATATCTCTGAAACCAACAGCAAATCAAATTGCATCATCATTTCATAACTTCTTATACTGAAATTCCTACTGGTGTGACAGCAATTTGGGCTTAGGGTCATGACTATAGGGTCACCATGGTCGCTGATCACTCCGACCTCAGAACAAAAACAAGGCAATTCGGAGTCTAGTCCTTGGGACTGTCTGCTATTGAGTGATCTGAGCTCTCCTGCTGCCGTGTTAACAGGCAACATGAGTCGAGGAGCTGTGAGTCCTGTCCTCAGACCAACCAGTCAAGGACACGACACAGGAGTCTGAGGAAGAGAGAGCATCCTCAGATCTGACAGGACTGTATTATTAATCGCCCTCATCTTGCTTCTGTCTCAGCCCTTTTCCTGGCCTGTTCTGACCTGCACTGAGGACCACTGATAGTAGAGGATAAAACAAAGCTTCTTGTTGGGTTTGAAATGTTGTTAATGTGTACATGTTATTGCACACTACATCCATAGCTTTGACATAGAAAGATGACATGCAGAAATACCAAACAACAACATTTCATTACCGTTTTATCATTTCAACATGTAGAAAAAAGATTCAAATAAATGTCAGAGCTTGGGCTATAACTTGGATAATATCCTCCTCTGTGATATGAACCAGCAGTGTGTGTGAGCTATAAATACATGCACTTTTAGCTGTTCGGCTTCATTAAGGTAATCTATGGGCTAGCCTTCAGCCTCAACCCCTTGAGCAGGATCAGGTGCTGTAGACCGGGAGTTCTGCCTAGCAGAGCTAGACACTGGCGCTTCTCCCCTCCTCCTCTCCCTCCATTCCCCCATCCCTGTTTGGCTGCTCTGGCCCCATCTGTGCTCTGCGGTTGCCCTGCCTCTCCTCCCTCTACTCTCCGGCGCCTATGCTCTGAAAGGAAGTGACAGCGTTAAGTCAGGCTGAAAAACCGACATCTGCGAGGCGGCCTGCCGCTGAGGTATCGTGAAGAGCGCCAGGACTCAGGAAAAGGGTCAACCCAGAAGGACAGGGATGAGGGGCATACTGTATTTATCCTGCTACCCTCCTCATGACCTCTAGCCCAACTATAGTATAGAGTATATACTATGCATGTGCAGTACCACGCTCTCAGTTTTATATCCAATGTCAAACAGTCCCCTTCCCAGCTTGCTCTCACCTCCGTCCGTCTCAGCTTTGATCTGAGCCTCCAGGTCCTCTGGGTCCACGTACTGGTAGTGATCATCCTCCTCTGGCGGCTTGCACTTCCCGCAGCAGAAACAGCAGCAGCAGCAGCAACAGCAGCAGGAGAAGACGGTGCAGCACACAGCCATGGTCTGCAGCACAAGGGCATAACACAAACACACAGCATAGTCAGTCAGGACAGCCACACGCCGTCATCCTGTCCCATGAAAACCTCTACATATCTGGCCTCAGATCTACAGGGTGACCCAGTGAGAGAACCTAGTGGATGTTTTGGTTTTTTTTGGAGGTAGATCAGCTTAATATTGCAGATAGATTGTAACTTCTATCAATGTAATTGTCTGCATCACTTCCAATCCCCCATGTTTTTTATATATATACTCCCCTTTATTACTTTTCAACCCCGCCATCCTTTCCCTACTTGGGGTAAATTAGTGAACAACAATGCTTAGGCCTCTACTTCCAGCTTATACTTACTATCTACACTTTATGGACAGTCAATTTTTACAATAATTCTATTTTATTTGTTTTTGCTCCTGAACTTCTACTCTCAACCTCTCCGATCATTTTCATGATGTCCATCCGGTTTGCTTCTATATGCCATATCTTTCTAACTGTGCTCTTTCCCAAAAGCTCCCAACATACAACCTATATACTTATTAGAACCTAGTGGATGTTAGCAGCAGAGACCTCCTGGTTCGGACAGTGGCTTTGCCCTCAGTGCTCTCTGCTTTTCAATCCTACATATCCAATGTAATACATGTGATGCTCTCAATAATCCTACTGCACTGTGCTTTCTAGGGTATATGAAAAATGTATGCACTCACTAACTAAGTCGCTCTGGATAAGAGCTTCTGCTAAATGACTAAAATGTAAATGTATAAATAAGTGGAGCGGTTTTGTTCCTCCCTGCAATTTTCCTGTGCTTTGTATTTTTCTTTGTAGATGAAAGCAGAGTGAGGTTTGTGAGACAGTCACTGGATCGTCCTCTCTGCATCTCGACCACTCTTCATACTGTACTGTACTCAGCATGAAAGGCCTCACATCTCAGTGACTGAGCACAACTACACAGAACACAGTTCTAAATAAAGACTGCTTTGCTCTGACACTTTTCAAAGCAATAACACACAGATACTTTCACTAATAGACTGTCAATGCACTCCCACCACAAGATAGAAGGGTGTCTAATGCATGGAGTAGACATAGTACTAAACAGTGAAGTCTAGCCATAGTAATGTCTAATACAATGTGATGAGTGTGTGAGTGACGTGGCTGTAAAAGCAGTCCAGTCAGTATGTCATCACAGACAGAGAGAGTAGGCTGGGAATCAGGATGGGTTAATCACCCCACTGTTGGAGGCTCCTGCAGTACTGACAACACCAAGGATAACCTGTCCACAGAGGGTCATGGTCACCTGAGTACTCATTCTATTAGCCTGTTAGACTAAAGGTGTTTTTTAAAGGGGTTATGAGGTACTCTCTCTCGCTCTCTCACCTTAAACCACCACTTGGACATGAGGAAGTAGTATTTGACGCTCTCCTCTCCAAACTGCTCGGACACGTAGAGGCCCATGGAGCCGTATTCTTCGTAGATCCTCCTCTTGCCATCATCGTTCAGGATTGAGTTGGCGTTGTTGATCTCTTTAAACGTATCCGCAGCCTCCGGGTTGTCTGGGTTCTTGTCTGGGTGGTACTTCAACGCTAGTTTCCTGTAAATGGATGTATGAATTAACAAATGGATGGATGGATGGATGGATGGATGGATGAATGTATAAATTCATTAATCTCAGTCCACACCATCACATACAAATTCTGCAAAACTCTAAATAAGAGCTTATAACTCATTAAAAGTCCATACTCCTGTGTCTGATGGACCAATTCATGAATAAAGCTTATCATTAACTTTCTCCAGGAAATGGAGAAACAGGCTTACCGGTTATGTGGCTATAACAACCAGAGACAGGCTAAGTGTGTTACCTGTAGGCCCTCTTAATGTCATCAGCGGAAGCTCCTTTCTCCAGGCCTAGCACCTTGTACAGGCTTTCCCCTGTGGTGGACATCTTCCTCTGGGGGCCTGGCCGATTTGGCTCTGCTGAGCCTGGTCCTGTGCCTGCCGTGGCCATGGCTGAAGTCTGCCAAGATACACACACACAGTAACACAGGATTCTATGAGATTAAAATTCTATAAGAGGAACAGGAGCTCAAGCAGTAGAAAATTTGAGGTGCCGGTACTCAGCTCCGGCGAGCTCCTGCCCAAGTCAAGCACTGCTTCTTATCCCTTGCGCAAATAGCCTACAGCTGTGTTTGTCCCGAGCTGGAAACTGAGGGCCAATAATATTTTATACAATGTTGCAAGTTCACTAGTGCAAGCTTCAGGCTGAACCCAATTTAATAGTTGATACAATGTTTCAAGTTCATTGCAAACAGGCCATGCATAGCCAATGTGCATTTTTGGATTTTGTAATTGTTTTTATTAGGATATTTTCTATCTGCAGGCTGCAATGTTTTAATTTGTTGGCTTTATGTAGGCTATTTTTACATAGTTGGCAATGGCAATAGAAGTTACTTTTTAGGTTTGTCTCATTTTCATTTAGATTTGGATAGAATTTTGATTAACCATTGATTGAGATATGAAGACGTTATTATAAGTTAAATGAAACTGTTCCACAAAAATGTGCATATGAAAACCATGACTGGCACGCATATCAGTATAAATGGTAAGATAAATTGGCATTTCACATGAGAAAGGTTGCCGACTCCACGTGTAGCCTATTACCAGCAACTTCAGGAGAATAAGGCAAAATCTGCAAAAGCCAGCAGGAGTGGGAGGAGAATGGTTGGGTCAGGTTAAGGTTTTTTTCTTCCTCTAGATCTCTGGCTCCCTCTTGGGTCATTTGTGTCTTATTTCATCAAACACTAAGCTTAAAGCATCAGACAAGCTCAATACATATAGTTGATTTGATTAAAACACATATACAGTGCCTTCGGAAAGTCTTCAGACCACTTGTCTGCGACCGGGAGACTCATGGGCGGCGCACAATTGGCCCAAGCGTCGTCCAGGGTAGGGGAGGGAATGGCCGGCAGGGATGTAGCTCAGTTGATAGAGCATGGCGTTTGCAATGCCAGGGTTGTGGGTTCGATTCCCACGGGGGGCCAGTATAAAAAAAAATATGTATTCACTAACTGTAAGTCGCTCTGGATAAGAGCGTCTGCTAAATGACGTAAATGTAAATGTAAAATGTTGTCTTTTTCCACATTTTGTTACGTTACAGCCTTATTCTAAAATTGATTAAATATTATTTATCATCAATCTACACACAATGCCCATAATGACAAAGCAAACACTTATTTTTTTGTGCTCATTTATTATAAATAAAATCTGAAATATCACATTTACATAAGTATTCAGACCCTTTACTTAGTTGAAGCACCTTTGGCAGCGATTACAGCATCGAGTCTTCTTGGGTATGACGCTACAAACTTGGCACACCTGTATTTGGGGAGTTTCTCCCATTTTTCTCTGCAGATCCTCTCAAGCACTGTCAGGTTGGATGGGGAGCGTTGCTGCACAGCTATTTTCAGGTCTCTCCAGAGATGTTCGATCGGGTTCAAGTCCGGGCTCTGGCTGGGCCACTCATGGACATTCAGAGATTTGTCCCGAAGCCACTCCTGCTCCTCCTCTTGGCTGTGTGCTTAGGGTCATTGTCCTGTTGGAAGGTGAACCTTCACCCCAGTCTGAGGTCTGGAGCAGGTTTTCATCAAGGATCTCTGTACTTTTCTCCGTTCATCTTTGCCTCGATCCTGACTAGTCTCACAGTCCCTGCCGCTGAAAAACAACCCCACAGCATGGTGCTGCCACCATGCTTCACAGTAGGGATGGTGCCAGGTTTCCTCCAGACGTGACGCTTGGCATTCAGGCCAAAGAGTTCAATCATGGTTTCATCAGACCACAGAATCTTGTTTCTCATGGTCTGAGTCTTTAGGTGCCTTTTGGCAAACTCCAAGCGGGCTGTCATGTGCCTTTTACTGAGGAACGGCTTCCATCTGGCCACTCTACCCTAAAGGCCTGATTGGTGGAGTGCTGCAGAGATGGTTGTCCTTCTGGAAGGTTCTCCCATCTCCACAGAGGAACTCTAGAGCTCTGTCAGTGACCATCGGGTTCTTGGTCACCACCCTGACCAAGGCCCTTCTTCCCCGATTGCTCAGTTTGACCGGGCGGCCAGCTCTAGGAAGAGTCTTGGTGGTTCCAAACTTCTTCCATTTAAGAATGATGGAAGCCACTGGGTGTATTGGGGAACATCAATGCTGCAGAAAGTTTTTGTACCCTTCCCCAGATCCGTGTCTCGACACAATCCTGTCTCGGAGCTCTACGGACAATTCCTTCGACCTCATATGGCTTGGTTTTTGCTCTGACATGCACTGTCAACTGTGGGACCTTATATAGACAGGTGTGTGCCTTTCCAAACCATGTCCAATCAATTGAATTTACCACAGGTGGACTCCAATCAAGTTGTAGAAACATCAAGGATGATCAATGGAAACATGATGCACCTGAGCTCAATTTCGAGTCTCATAGCAAAGGGTCTGAATACTTATGTAACTAAGGCATTTCTTATTCTTTTTTTAACCTGTTTTCACTGCCATTATGGCCTACTGTGTGTAGATTGATGAGACATTGTTTTTATTTAATTAATTTTAGAATTAGGCTGTAACATGATAAAATGTGGAAAAAGGGGTTTGAATACTTTCCGAATGCACTGTATGTAAAGGTTGGGCCTATCCAAAACCCTTACAGATCATTTACAACCACAATACACTATTGACAAGTACGCCTAGCACAGATTAATTTGGGATTAAGCTCCAAGACTGTGAGTAGTGAAGTGCAGCATGTCAAACATGAATAATGAAATACATGACAACTATGGAGCCTCAATCTAAAATCCCTGTGATTAAAACAAAGCCTAACAGAAGGCAGCAGTGAAACTCCAACACCCCACAGAACACCACATTCTGCTGAGCAGGACATTAGTCCTGCTGTGGCTCACACACAATGCTCAGCCACGCACAATGTGACTACTAGTGACTAGTAATGCCCCGGGGAGGCTTGAGATAAAGGCGATTACATTTAGCTGATCTCACAGAGGTCAACATGGGGCAATCTTAGACTGGCCCTGGCCTGGCGAGACTTCCCTGAACAGCCAGCACAGAGACAGGCAGGGAGAGGCTTAGGAGGTGGCTTGGGCTGGTGAGGAACCTTTTTCTATAGGTTGTTGTGAGGTGAAACAGTAAATGGTGGCACAAGGCTACAAGCAATAGCAGACTAGCAGTAAACTAAGCTTACCCCATTTCCCATTGTTTCCCTTAAAGCTGGTGGTGCCCTAACACTGAAAAGGAGGTCTGTTTGTAATCACCTTTGTCCTACATTGGAACTGGTCAGTCGCCAAGTCAAGGGTTTCCAACTGCTTAACAACAACCACACTTCACTTACACACTTCCAAAGCTTGGATAACCAGAGCCATTTAGCTAGCAAAGCTTGTTTTCCATGAATTACCTCTGCTATTTGGCCCATCTGTCGGCCATTCACTAAAGCTCCAGTTACAATGTTCCACTGGCTCAGGCCCAGTCTCAACTCAAATCAGTTCAAATAAAATAACTTGTGAACAGTCTGTCCATTTCTGTAGAGAAAAAGGAATTCACAATTACTGGGCTAAATGGGGTAACGCGACTGCATGAGGCATCCATCATGTCAGATAGGACTTACTGAGGCCCAGTGTTTCCCCTAGGATTTTTTTTCAGCAGCGGTAGCAGACTTAGTGGGGGGGGGGGGCTTCCTGCAGGGGGGGCGGATGGTGTCTTCCTGGGGCATACATTTATACATCTACAGTGGCGGTCACGATTTAAATGCATATGGGGGAAACACTGGAGGCCTAAGCTAATGGTCTCCTGTGCATTGCAGTAGGGTTGGGCGGTATCCAGACTTTCATATCGTCATACCATCCTTCTCTCATCCCGGGATTTACGGTATTACCGGCTTAGTAAACAAGGGGGCGCCAAATACAAGCCCATGGGTGTCTATTACTACAATGCTAACAAGATTAGCACAAGTAACAGCACATTTCAATGGAGGCTTCTAGCTAAATATGCTAATGAGCACAAACGAAAATAAACAAAATGCAAAGACAGGCAATCCAGCTCATAAAGTTATAGATGGGTAGGAGCTACCGAATGTCATTTTTAGCGAGTTTGGACATTTACAAGCGAATGTGAACTAGAGACATTGTGCAAATGAACAAGGCTTTGACGCATTCTTGTCTGGAGGAAGAACAGTACTGCCTCTGGAGCAGCATGCGTACACGCTGTGTCTGTGTTGAGTCTGGAGTCGCTAGGGCAACGGGCCTGCCTGGACAAGAGGGGGGAGGAACATACGGGCCGAGAACGGAGAGGAGGAAAAAAACGCAAGGAAATCCAGATAGCAGTGGCAGCTGTACAGATAACTCATCCAAAGGGCTTTGACTTCTCAAACACGGCAGAAAGGTAACACTATATGATGTCCCGTCTCCTTATTAATTCAGCCACTTAGATAACTAGCAAGTTACACATAGTTTTGATGTCTTCACTATTATTCTACAATGTATAAAATAGTAAAAATAAAGAAAAACCCTTGAATGAGTAGGTGTTCTAAAACTTTTGACCGGTAGTGAGTAAAGT